ATACAATCAAATTTCAAATTGCTGAAGTCCCCTATGGTGTGAAGAAGTTAGCCAACATCAACACTTTCTAAATCACCCAATGACATCATCTTCCTCTCCTCCATCCAATGACAAACTCAACCAATACTACTTGATCTTCGGCTTCACACTTATCTTCATTGTACTTCTCATCATTAGCGCTGTCGCAATGAATTGTTGCACTTGGTTTCAGCGCCAATTTATCTTAATGCGTCGCTTGCTCATCCGTAAGCATAATGGCTTGGAAATGCAACGTTGGATTCCAACATTCAAATACCACAAGAAGGAAGCAAGGGTCGGGGAGGAGGAAGAGGAAGCTGCACCAGAGTGTGTGATATGTCTATATACATTTGATGAAGAAGAGGAGGTTAGGCAATTGCCATCGTGCCGACACCTATTTCATGCAGCTTGTATTGACTTGTGGCTCAACACGCATAACAATTGTCCGATTTGTCGTGGCATTATTGTATTGCATTCTATGAATATGTCAACTTAGTTTTGCTCTATTAAGATAATTAATTTCATTATACTAGAGGAGGATTGTGGCAGCAATGTCTAAATATGTTGGAGAATCTATATGTGTGCACTTGTATTTATGATTCCCTAAATTACATGAATGACCTTCAAGATGTTAGCGATGTAAAAATTTTATATATTTTTTTTTGTGGAAAATGATAAAGCACATTTAAAATTGTAGTTAAAAAATAATATTTAAAAACACAATATAAAATTATGATTTGTACCCCAATGAAATATAATTATATATTTTATTATTGATGTATCATCCAAAAATTATCTTGATCAGACACAAATCTCGAGGTTAAATCAAGTTGAAAACTTCCGAAATTAAAGTTGGGATCATCTGAACTCCGATTTCAGCAAACTTATAGTCGAACTGAATGAGTCGAGAATACGAACCCAACGACATCAAATTCGACTCAATCCAAGCCCAAATGAGTGCAAATCAAGGACTCAAAGCACTTTTGGAAGGTTCAGACCATAATTTGGATTACCAAATAGTTTTCAAATGTGACATTCTTATATATAGTCGAATCGAGCAACTCGATGAGACAAATCCAACGAGCCAAAGATCATTGAATTCCGATATCACTAAGACATCCAAATGCCCAACAAAAGGTCAATTATCAAGGAAATCAACATTGACCGTCCATACAAATTACTCCCAAAATATCCTTGATCCTTTTACTATTTACGTGCCATGTCACTCTAAATTTTAAGAAATATGTAAATTTGAATTAATTCGTTAGTTACAAACTTCAATAAATAGTACTATAATATAAAAGGAGATAATATCAACTGAAATAAAGTTCTTGAATTTTCTTAAAACAAATGGCTAAAATAATTCAACCAACGTGCTGATCTCCTATTCACATCAAGCTGGATAGGATTTTAATCAACAATGCTTGGATGGATGCTTTTCTTGATCTTTTTGTTCTATTCAAAGTCCCATGTGCTCGGATCATTGCCCTCTTTTATTGCAAGATGGCATTAAGCTTAATTCTCACCATAGATTTCTCTTCAAAAACTATTGGACCAAGCTTGATAAGTACTGGTACATACTTTTGGAGGCTTTTTCTAAGCCTATTTATGGTAACCCCCTCTCATTTTTATGCCATACTCTCAAAAAGGTGAAACAAGGCATTAAACAAGAATCTTGGGCTAGCTCTTCCAAGATTAATCCTTACCTAGATGAACTTACTAAGCACCAATCTGTTTTACTGGGCATGATTCAGGGAAATCCCTCTGATCTTACTCTTAACTTTGCACTCAAAGAGGTCAATCTTAAAGTATCTCAACTCTCGAACATTATGGCTTCTTGGGCTATTCAAAGAGAAAAAGTTAATTGGCTAAGACATGGCGAGGATGATCTCAATTTTTTGTATGCCAAAATTAAGAGTAGGCAAAGCAATTTTAGAGCTGCTGTTAACCTCTTCGATTCTAATCAGACCTATGGCAGAGATGATGTTATTAAGGAGATCATTCAACATTATCAAACTTTGTTCAATCCTCCTCCCCCAACTTCTCTGGATATCAACAAATTTCTGATTTGGAATTCTGTCCCGGAAGCTTTCTTTGAGTTCCTTACTCAACCTGTTTCTGATATAGAAATTCGCAAGGCTGTTTTTAAAGCGAAATCAAATTCTACCCCTAGGCCGGATGGGTTCAACTCTCATTTCTATAAACGGGATGGCATATTGTGGGTCCACTAGTTTGTACGCTGTTAAATTCTTTTTTTCTAAAGGGTATCTCCCACCTGGTATTAAGGCTACTGCCCTGGCTCTTATCCCCAAGCATAACAAGGCTGAGCACCTCACTGATTTCCGGCCTATTGCATTATGCAACTCTCTTTATAAAATTATTGCAAAGGTGTTATCAAATAGAATTATGCACATTCTGCCTTTAATTGTTAAACAAAACCAATCTGGTTTTGTTAAATCTAGGGTTTCTACTGATAATATCCTTCTTGCCAACGAGGTAATTGCTCTTGCTAAGAGACAGGGAGGCAACAAGTTTTTTTGTGCAAAGCTGGATATTCGTAAAGCTTTTGATATGGTATCTAGGGAATTTTTTATTGCAAGAATGTTACAGAAAGGATTTCCTCCACTTTTTGTTAGCTGGATCAAATCATGTATTTTTGATGTTAATTTTTTTGTGGTTATAAATGGTGCCCTGGAGGGGTATTTTTCTTCTTCGACAGGCTTAAGGCAAGGTTGTCCGTTAAGCCCTTTCTTGTTTTGCCTGGTGATGGTTTTCCACTTTGCTGGATGAGGGAGGCTTCAAAGCGATTTGCTTTGAGGGATTTTCTCTTTCCCATCTTCTGTATGCTGATGATGTTATTATATTTGGGGAAGCCAATTTAGAGAACTGCAAAGCCCTATCCAATACTCTAAATATTTTTGCTAACTCCTCTGGTCTACATGTGAATCTGGAAAAAAGTTTTGTTATGTTTCCCAAACATGTGCCTAATCAATTGGATCTTTGTCAAGCTTTATTAATACACAACATCAGTAAAAAAATTCTCTATTTAGGCATCCCTTTATCCTTCAATAGGCTAAGACTTGCGGATTTTATGCCTCTGACTGACAACATTACAAAAAATCTCTCGGGGTGGAAAGCTAACCTGCTCTCTTTTGCGGGGAGGACTCAATTCCTAAAATTTACCATCCTAAACTCTATTGCCTAGCTACTGGATCCGGGGTGCTATCCTACCTAGGGCTGTCTACAAATTTTTTAAAAAAGTTTGCTCCAAATTTCTTTTCTTTGGAGACCCAGGGATCTCCAAGAAAATTCATATGGTTTCTTGGGAGAAGGTGTGCAGGCCGAAGCAATTTGGGGGGTTGGGTATTCCTTCCCTGGCTGGGATGCAGTTTGCTTTCACTGTTCAGTTATCTTGAGAATGTACAATATGGAATCGCCTTTTTCCTCCTGGCTCCGTTCTAGGTATCTATCTCCTTGGTGTCCTCCTCCTCCCACTGCTTCAAAATTCTGGAAATTGGTTTGTGTTACGGCTGTTACTACCAGGAGTAAATTTTGTTTTTGTGTTACTAGTAACTCACCAATTTCTATTTACTGGGATCACTGGTGTTATAACGGTAGACTGGAAGATTTCTCAAATGGATTATATGTCCTACAAGCTACCTCGCCTAAGTCCCTCTTAAGATATTTCATCTCTAATGATCAATGGGATTTGCCGGCTGTTATCCCTCCTCTTGTTAGGGATGGTATTCAGGGTATTCCCATTCTTACTGCTACCAACAATTGTTTGTCTTGGGGAAACAATCCGAGCAGTAAATTTTCTGATTATATGTTTGAGTTTTATTCCAATCTTCCTAGGCGCTCTTGGTCCGACCAAGTCTGGCATCAACCTCATGCTTTAAGGTATTCCAGCTTCACTTGGCTTGCATTAGTTAATGGATTGAAAACAGCGGACGCCTTGCTCAAAAGAAACATCATAATTCCTAATACTTGCAGTCTATGCCATGTATTTCCTGAAACTATTTTTCACCTATTTTTTGAATGTTCGTACTCTTATGATATCATTACTACGGTTATCCCTCCGGCTAAGAAACTGCTTCTTAGACCTAACATTCTACAGCTTTTAGAATGGATAGATGGGGATCCTTCTTTATCACAGCAAGTGAAGAAAATGTATTTTCTTTTTATTTGCTGTTGTGTTTACTATATATGGAAAGAAAGGAATAGTAGGAGGTATGGGAATTTGCTATCCAGCAGCACAACCAATGCTTTTATTATTAGAAGAGCTGTTTTTGGGAAGATTCTGAAATGAAAAAACTCGTTGGAATTGCTGGGAATTGTATAAGGTGGAGGCTCTGTTCTGTTTTGCTATTATCTGGCTGCTCAACGTCCCTTCGGATTATGGTGCTTTGCCCTGCCTGGACGATGATGAAGCTCCCCTTATCCTTCCCTTGGACGGTCATTGGGCAACCAGGGATAGGTCTTTCAAATTTTTTGCAATTTTCTGAGTCCAGGCTATTGGGTTCGGGAGCTCTTTCCTCTCTGTTTTGCTGCAGGTGCAGGCTTCCAAACTATTATTTCTGACGCACGGCTCTCCTCGCTTTGCATTTTGCTGGGGATTCTTCATTCGGGAACTACTACTATGCTGCTTGATACTCTGCACACCGTCACTGCCATACGAGATATGCTGGTTACTCTGATGCCTTTGTCCAGTTTTTGGGTTATATCTGCTATTTAACACATTTGGTGCTTCTTTTTGATTTTTGATAGTTTTTGGGAGGTATAGTTGGGATTTTTTCTTATTTTCTACCTCATAAGTTTTTGTTCTTTGCTTATGATGAATAGTTTTACTTGTATTTTCTTTACTTGTAACTTTTCTTCATCACGGTAATATATGGGCTTATGCCCCAAATTTTTCAAAAAAAAAAAAAAAAAATTTGATAAATCAATACAAAGTCAAATTTACCGCAATTTTATTTTTTATTGGCATTTTTATTGTCAGCGAGGGCTCGCGGCGCCAACAGGCTTTCTGGTCTTCACAAAGTTCTTACAGAGCTGAAGTGAACCGGGCTGGAGGCGGAGCTGACGCTGTTACTTTCCAAAATCAGGCGGTGAGAAAACAACTCCATTTTCTCAAGTTAGGGTTTTGCCGCTCTTCGGTAACCAAAGTTTTTTTCTTTTGGTCTTTAGCTCCTTAGCCAGTTTTTTGCAGCTTTGAGTTGTCGGGATTGTTTCATTTTTCGAGTTCGTTGCTACCAAGTAGGGCGGAATGTATGGGGGCGGTGAGTCTTGCTTTCTTTTTAGTTGATGCTTTGTGGTAACCTAATTGCGACTTCAACTTTTCTTACTTTTATTGAACTCCGTTTGTGTAGACGAAGTATCGGCGATAGTAATTGATTTAGGTTCTCATACCTGCAAAGCTGGTTATGCCGGTGAAGATGCTCCCAAGGCAGTATTTCCCTCTGTAAGTGTGCTCAAAATTTCAGCACTCAGGATGCATTTGTAATTTTCCAGCATGCCCTCTCGTTATTTATTTTGAAGTCTCAACATTTTACTCGGTACAGTCCTTGATTTTAAGTTTCTCTGGACATTTATGTTGGATGTGTTTGCAAATTGTGAAACCTGGTAGTTTTTGGATAATTCAACATTGGTTATAACGATGTAACATCATGATCTTATTAGAAAGAATTTCAGATGCATGACTTCTCGTCTGCTTGAATATTAGGCTAGTTTCTGAGAGTTGTATTGGCGCTACTAATTTTTTTCACAACTTCTACTTCGTTATTTGCATAACACTTGAAATATTTTGTTTAGGTTGTTGGATCAATTGAGCAACAAGAAGTGGTAAATGGTACCAAGTTTGAGAAAGAAAGTGAATCCATGTCTGATCTGAAAGCTGGACTGAAGGGATTAGATTCAGAGAAAGCTAAAACAAAAAGAAAATTGTATGTTGGTTCTCAGGCTTTAGGTTTCAGAAGAGACCATATGGAGGTGAGGGTTCAATACATTTTAATTTTATTTGTGTAATCTCAAAATAAGAGTGGCTTTAGTTGAGGTAGTCAATATTGTTGATTCTTTATATTGCTTTTCGAATTAGGTGATATCACCCTTCCAAGAAGGAGTTGTTGCTGATTGGGATATTGTTGATAACATTTGGGCTCATGCCTTCAAGTGAGTCTGTTATTATCTAAGACACGATTATTCTGGTATTGCAAATCCTAATTTATATTCCATATATACATTAATGGAGTTAATGATAGAGCATATGCTATTCTATTTGATTCTTTCAGTTTCTTTTGCCAGAATAAATATACGTCCATCAAATTCAACTACCATAACATATTTTAGGAATCTTATTTGAAATGGGAAAAAAGTTGTTTTTTCCTTAAAATTCATCAATTAAGTAGTTATATTGTGTTTTGTTCATCATTGAACTTCTTAGGTGTGCATTACTAAAGATTAAAAAATAAAAAAAAAACAACAACAACAAATCAAGCCTTTATCCTGCTACGTGGGGTCGGCTACATGAATCCTTTTTCTCCATTGTGTCCAGTTAAGAGTCATTCTCATTTAGATGTAATAAAGAGAGGTCAATTCTAATATTTTCTAACCAAGTCTTTTTAGGTCTACCTCTATCTTTCTTAACATAGGTTAAATCTAATACATCCACTCATCTAACCGGGTCATCGGAAGGCCGCCATTTTATGTGACCAAACCATCTAAGACGACTCTCTATAATCTTATCTGCCATTGGAGCTACTCCAACCTTTTCATGTATATGCTCATTTCATATTCTGTCTCTAAGAGTAAAGCCACTCATCCACCTGAGCATCTTGCCATTAAAAAATAATATGTATTAAAAAAAATCTCACCAAAGACAAGATTTTGCTCTCTCTGCTGGCGTTGATAGTTTTATTTGATGCAATTTTGATTTATTTGTTTATTTCCTCTTTTGGAGAGCATTTTATTGATGATCTTCATTGTTTAGTCTTTAAAATCAACTTTACCACACTCTTTGTAGCATATGATAAGGCCTCTTGACAGCTTTCCATGTACATGCAACAAAGAGGATGTTTTCTTCATTCATAATTCTTTTGCAGAAAGAAGGTGTCATCAGAAAAGAAATGTTTTATTATTTTACATTCGATTAAAAGTAATGGAATTATGGAAAGCTACAAACTTGCCACAGCGAGCATTTCACAACATAAGGATTTTCTTGTTTTCATATGAATACTCGGGGAATTTGATGAATGGTTCTTCCAATTGATGGAAACATAGATGAAAAAGTAATTAAACATCCATTATATATCCATCATATGGAGCGTCAACTGTCACTTGATAAAATTTTCAATTGCAGCCATTAACATATTGTTCTTTGATTCATGCAATCAGTGGATCTGGTAAGCATCTTCTTTGGCATTGTGAGAAGACTCAAACAATACGAAGCATTATTGCTTAGAAGAGTCCTATTTCGAGAATAAAAAACCTGTAGATATAGATTTGATTGATTTATCTTGGTTTTAGTTTAGCAAAACCTTAAACATTTTGAAGTCTAGGCACATGTTATTGTCATTTGCGTCATCTTAAAGGTTGTTAAATATTTACCACTTATCTAATTCTCACTAACTTACATTGAACTATTAAAATAAACTATGTGCTAAAAATTGCTCATTTAAATTAGAATTCTATAGATGGCATTGATGATGCTAATAAATGGTTGATTGAAAAACTGTATGCTGAGGTTATTGAAGATGTTGAGTTTGCATTTGTTTTAGAAGATCTCACTTAGGGGGATGGTGCTAAGGTTAGTGTTACTTATGAAATGAGAGATGATATTTGAAATTCTTCCAAGTAAAAGGAAAACAAAAATAAAAGGTTTACCTACTTTGCATACCTCTAGTACAGTATTTGATGGAGAAGTTGAGGTTGAGATTATCTTGTTGGGGATAACGCAATTCCTTTTTTTATGATGATGGTAATGATGAAGATGATGATTAGGATTGAGGGCTAAACCTCTAATTTTCTTCTACATCTTTGCAAATTTGACAATGACAATGGGGTTGCCGGATGACGATTTTATGGTTCTAAAATTGACATTTACAATTACTCGCGGTCACTTGCAACAGAAGCTCCTGTACCTTTCTTCTAGACTCATACAAAGAAAAAAAGAATAAATGTTTGTTGCATTTATGCTTGCAGGTTCGAGGAAAAATTATTGAAAATTGTTGTTCATTTAACATATTATTGAAAATTAGCTCGACAACGACTCTTTCTAACTATATTTTTATTGTTCAATTTTTGGTTCTTGAAGCTCTTATTCTTTGTGTATGGAATTTGTTATATTTCTTAATTTCTTATGGGAAACACGCTTGATAATCTGTATTTCAGGGACAGGTTACTAATTGATCCCATGGAGCATCCCATGCTACTTGCAGAGCCAACTTCAAATGCTCCACAGCAGAGAGAGAGGTCGTCTTTCTCCTCTGGCATTACTTTATGTTTACTTTATGTAGTATGGTGACTTGATGGTTCATGAATGGATTATTGTTTCTATTCTGAATCAGAATCTAATCCGTACTTATGTTTGACTTTACTGCCTATAATTTTAGGGGCTGTTTGTTGTGCTGTATTTTGAATGCCATATAAGTAAATGCATTCAATTTTGTTTTATTCACTATATTGTTTTTGTTACGAAAATGAACCATGAAGTAAAGTAAATTTGCTTCATTTACTTGAAACCAAGCATAAAAAAGCTAACTTTGGATGCAATTGTTTTACTTAATTTCAATTTTTCATTCAATTAAACAGCCCTTCAGCTTCATGAATATAATTGTTTCTATTCTACCATGCCTCATGTAGGGGTCCAAGTCATGCAATATTTTGAAAGAAAGATGATCCCTAAAAATTTTATATCTAGAATATATCTAAAGATGTTTCAGGAAGCTTGAAGGTCATAGTGACTTTTTGATATCGCTTTTTGGTATTAGTCATTTTTCAGATAAGGTGCTAATGTAAAGGCATCATAATGAATATTATGCCAATCAAATATTTTTTTTTTGTTAATTATTGATCGAAGACAAAATGTTAATGCTATCTATAGTAGACTCAAAAACCCTACTGATATTGCAAAATATTAATAAAATTTCATTCATCAAATAACACTAAGTTGGAGAACTCGAACTAATTGTAAATATTTAATATTTTTTACGTCTAGCAAGAAAAGAATATGCAACTGCATACACTAATGCATGGATAAAGTTGTGTACAACAATCTCTCTTCAGATCTTGCAGTAGCAATAGCTTTATGATAAATAACATAATTAGAATGCTATTGTGAACTAAAATAAAATTAGGATGACACGTTGCAAGCTGCACAATGTAGAATGTTGATAAAAACATGCGAGTGCATGGAGTGCCAAAAGGAAAAAAAGCTGTTTGAGAAATTACTCTTTCTAGTCATGATTAAAGCCAAAGGGGAATGGTTGAATTTGGTGAGAAATTGTTGTGGCTAGAAAAAAAAAAAAAAAAAAATGCAACACCACAACAACAACATCAAGCCTTTATCCCACTACGTGGGGTCGGCTACATGAATCCTTTTTCTCCATTTTGTCCGGTTAAGAGTCAAATTCTCATTTATATATGATAAATAAATGTCATTTCTAATATTTTCTAACCAAGTATTTTTAAGTCTACCTCTGCCTTTCTTAGCATAGGTTAAATTTAATACATCTACTCTCTTAACCGAATCATCAAAAGGAAGCCATTTTATGTGACCAAATTATCTAAGGCGACTCTCTCTAATCTTATCTGCCACTGGAGCTACTCCAACCTTTTCACGTATATGCTCATTTCATATCCTGTATCTAAGAGTAAAGCCACTCATCCACCCGAGCATCCTCATCTTTGCAACACTTAGCTTAATATTATGCTTCTTATTTAATGGTCAACATTCTGCGCAATAAAGCATTGCAGGTCTAACCACCATGTTATTCATCTCATTTGAATTGTTTTGAGATTTATAGTTTGCATTAGGTTTAATATTTGACGAAATAGAAAATTAGGAGATCCATTACTATCGTAGCACTAAAATTAAATAATAATGAGCAATGTGAGATAAATAATGACCTACGGAAGAAAAAAAAATTAAAATTCTCTCATAAATGGCAATCTCATTTAAACTAATGAAAATACTAAGTTTTATTGTGTAGTCATTCATATTGGTAGCGGTTCTGATTTCCATTAACGGACTAAATACTTCAAAGTTGATTGCAAATTCATAAGAGATGTTCTGCTTTTTGAGAAGATAATAACTATTTATGTTTCTAATTCAAAATAAGTGGCATATATATCTTTGCCAAAGCCTTAGGACTTCAACACTTCTCTCATTTATTTAATAAGTTGGAGCCAACGAACATATATCCTTCACCTTGAAGGAGAGTGTTGGCATATGACACGTATTAGAAAAATAATATGAGGGAGAGTATCTATTTGAAGAAAAAAAAATGCATTTATTCCCTCATGATTATAATCATTCTCATTTTTATTTATTTTTCATTTGTATTCATCTTATATAAATAGGCATCTCTACTTACTGAATAAGATGCACCATAATTTTTTGTCTAAACAACAACAATATTATGATAGGATTGCTAGAATAAGTTGCTTTATTTGGTGTCAGTCTTCTGAAAGAAGTTGAATTGTCGCAGATTTTCAGCTTTCCTGAATAGATGGATTGCAACAATTTTCAATATGGTAGAGTTTACTTTTCCCCATGCTGTTGCATCTTGATGAATATAATTTGATCTCTAATTCCATGCATGTTGTATTCTCTAAGCATAGAGTTGCTTCAGTAAGTTTGTTATATCCTTAATTTTTCCCTTCAAGTATCTGATTTGTAGAAAATATTGTTCTTTTCTATTTCAGGATGGCAGAGATCTTGTTTGAGAATTACAAAGTTCCTGCGTTGTTTGTTGCAAAAAATGCTGTATGATATTTGCCCGTCTTTTATTGATGCGATTATAAGTTTTGGTTTGAATTTCATTTATGGTTTGGGGTTTATATTCCAGCTTATTCATTATTTTCTTTGACAGGTTCTTACATCCTTTGCTTCTGGCAGAGCTACTTCTCTTGTTGTTGATAGGTGAAATCTCATGCTTTTTATTATTTTGGATTAGCTGAGCTTCTTCTTAGAACTATATTTATTTCTCATTTTATGAGCCTTTGAAATAGAGTGAATGTTTGCTTTTGTTCATTAGAACTGCAGCGTTTTTTTTTTCTTTGCCCAGAGCACCTTTTGTACTATAATTGTGTTTCTCATGATGGAATGTAGTTATATTACGTTTACCTATTGAACTGTTTGTTTTAAAAATATTATGCTTATTGATTGAACACAAATTTTGAGCTTGATTATTATTTTTATATATAAGTGTTTTGTATAAATTCAAAATTGGAATGCTTGTATGTTTGAATTTTTTTTTACTAAAGTTTCCATGAAAGTTAATGCTGTTATTTATTATTATTTTGCCTATTCCCTCTTTTATCTTCTTTTGACTTGGAGCAAATGTAAACTGCTCAATTGGTGGAACCATCACTAATAAACTCCTCCCCCTAACAGTGGTGGTGGATCGACTACTGTAGCTCCTGTACAGGATGGTTATGTCCTTCAGAAGGTACTTTTTACTGAATGGTTGTTCGATATCTTTTGCTCTCGTGTTTTCCTTGATATGTTGAGGGTTTATGTATTTTGTTTAGCTTATTTTAAAATTATTTCAATTGGATCAATGGCAGAAGCTTCTTCCTTACTGTTACATTTGGTACTATAGTTTCCAATTCTTGACCTTCAGCTTTTTCTCATACAAGAGCTGATATTTGTGACTTTAGGGCGTTGCAACTTCTCCGATTGGAGGTGAATTCCTAACTGAATGCATGATGAAAAGCTTGGAGAGCAAAGGCATTATTGTAAGTCAAGTTTGGTTTAATTAGGAAACTGTTATATTACATTTTGTTCCTTCTTTATCTAGAATAGGATTGGAGCGCCTATGATTTTCCTCATAGATGTTTATCTATTTTCCAGTTCAAGCCCAGATACTCTTTCAAAAGAAAGGAAGCACGCCCCGGAGATTTTCAGGTAAACTTGCGATAACCCATCTAAACTAATTTTCAGATTTTCTATACAGTAATCTGTGTTTTAGTTTGCTTCATTTATCACAATTTTACTCATGCTTTCTTCTTCTGATCCTCTATTTTCTTACCATGGTGGGTCCCTTTCATGTGATGGCCGCAAGCCCACTTTTTACAATCAAAAGTGTGTTACAGTGTTAGTCAAAACTTGGACTGTTATCCTGGAATTATTGTATTTTTGGATCGAACTTGATAGTTGATTTGTTCAATATTTCTTTAGTTTATAAAATATGAGGGCGAACAAGCCATGGCTGAAGCATGCCTGAAGGCTACTGATGAACTTTTGTATCTATGTTGTTAAAGTGAAATTATTATATTTGTGGATCGAGCTTGATAGTTGATTTGCTCAATATTGCTTTAGTTTATTTGAGGACCAACAAGCCATGGCTGAAACATGCCCGAAGGCTACTGATGAGCTTTTGTACCTATATTGTTAAAGTTAGAAATACTTTGCTTTGAAATTTTATTCATCATCTCTGAAGGCTCCTTTTATTCTCGTATATATTAACTTACTACACAACTTCACGGACAAACTGATTTATATTTGTTGTTTCATTGTTTGCAGTATATGTTTGTTGTTTATTACTAAATCTGAAGCTCTGTTTGATTTTCTTACTGATTTTGATAATATTGGAGAATCAGTTAATCTGCATATTCTGTTGAGTATTTTTGCAAGCTCTTCCATCTGTAAACCAATTTTCGTTCTTAATTCAGTCATTAATAGATATTTTCGTGACTAGAATTTATCTAAAATTAAGCTTGAGATATTGGGTTGAACTAGATAGATTTTTCTTCCATAAAAATGTTGGAAAAGAATCTGTTTTTCCTCTCCCTCGAAATGTTCCAAAGTGTAGGGAGTAATAAAATATACGGTTGTCTTTTTAGCAATTTCCTTGTTGCATGCATCCAAGAAGAAAAAAATGAATCAAGCGGATGCAGCATTATAATTTTTTAACAATAAGAGAAGTCTCCTCCAAATATTAGTAGTAGAGCTACATTTGAAGAAAAGATAAATAAATGATTGACTTTGAGCAGTTTGACTCAAATTCTTAACGAACTCCATCACAACATTTAGCTTTGTACTTTCCATGTCGATAACTGTTCAACAGACAGAATTCATCTCATATTATGTAAAAGTCATCACATGATGCATTTGAATTCAGTAGATACTTTATTCCATCTTTTTCCTTGGAATATTCTACTCTAACGCTCCAAATCTTCCTTTACTTTTCTATTCTTTCCACTGCTAACAAGCATTATCTACCTCCCTAGTATGTTCTTTATCTTAGTAAAAGAGGAATGGGAGTTTACACTCCGCTTCTGTCGTATGTTGGACTAAGTAGGGGACTTCTGTTCCCTGCTCCATCTTCCTCCATCTTCTTATTTGAGATTACTATGTGATCCATTCAAAAGTTGAACCTACTTGTTCCTTCGTTGAGAGAAAGATTGGGTGGTTCCTTCGTGTAAAACATGACAATGCATTGACACACACATATTCACAAATGCACTCACGCGCACATGCACTTGCATGTCTATTTGAATGAATGCAGATCCCAAGAAGTCTGTAGAGCGTAAAATTTTATTAGTTTTGGATTTTATATGCTAAAAAAACCTGTTGTGCTAAGTTCTATTTATTAACAATCCAACTGTTCATGCTTTGTTTTGGTCTGTAGACAATAGATCTTGATTTTCCAAATACCACAGAACGCTACAAGCTTTACTCTCAGGTATAGATCAGTCTCTCATCTTCTGTTTATTTTTCCTTTCCAATGCATCCAAGGTTATTGAGTTTGCTTAACTTTACTGAAAGTTTTTTAATGGCAGAGACTGATTGCTAGTGACATAAAGGAATGTGTATGCAGGGCTCCGGATACTCCTTATGATGGTATTTCAGTATCTCATTTCTCAATTGCATTGTCTCATAAGAAATTCGCTTAGTGCAAAGCCTAGAAGTCTGTTGATACTTCAAGATTTTTTTTTATTTTCTTTCTTTGCTTGATAGTTTATCAAAATGTTGGACTACATCCAATCATGCTTCCTTTTATGAGTAGAAATTGTTTTCCTCCTATACTTTTGCATATGTTGGCTTTATTAACAAGTGATATTTAAAAGAATATAGCTGTTTACCTTAAATTTTATTCTCTTCTTCCCACTTTTGCAAAATACCACATTATCTTCTTCTTTTGATATATTTCCTTCTATACACAAAAAGTCTAACAAAATTTCTTTAAAAAGAAATGATAGGTCTATAGTTATTAATCTGAAATAAAAATGTAAAAATTTTACCATTGGTTTGGAAAAAAATAGTAAAGAGAAAAGCCATAGTCTTCGATTCTCACCATGCTTGTACTCGTCTCAACCTTCTATAGCATACGCGAGTCACATGATCGTCGATTCGCTTAGTTTTGGATCTTGCTCGCATGGTCTCTCTCACTTTCTTGCTAATGCTTATCATCTCTTTCTCTGTCTCTCATTCTTGTTTGCCCTCTCTCTATCTCTTGCACTCTCCCTCTCCTTTCGCTCACACAAAGAAATATGCATTTATAAGTGTTTTACTAATAACTTCACTAATTTTTTATATCATATTTCTTTAATTTAAATATAATAATAATTATTATTATTATTATCATTCATCTATTTTAATTAATGTAATTTAATTGTCATTATTTCAATTTGAAAAGGATTTAATAAATAAAATATGGGTAATTACTAATATTATTTATTTTTAGTTATTTATTAATCCTTTTTGAGTTTTGATTATTAATTCTTTTTTATTGTGATTGATTTTTTTTTGTTGTGCTAGCTTGTGAGGAATAAGTCGATGGAAGACAGAATTAAGTGCTATAGTTTTATAATCATGCTATGAAATTTTAAGGCAATTGGTGGGTTTTTCTACTTTTTTTAAAATCCTTTTGGGATCTCAGAAGATAAAATTTTTGAGAGAAGAATTGAGGAAGAGAAGAAAAATGTATAATTTGGTTCTTCTATTTTATTTTCGCTTGAATGAATAGGAGTATCAATAAATGATCCGATTAGACAAGCTGAATCTAGCAAGAATAAAAAAACTTTTGGTAGAGGTTGACCCAATAATTGTTTGGGTCAGGTTCATGGAATATTGATCTGATTAATGTTCTGTGTTTGGTTTGGGTTGATTTGACCCGAAATTGACTTGATTATCATTGGAGTTTCAGTTAAATGAGTTGGGTTTAGGCTAAACGAGTCATGCTTGGGTTTTATTTGTTGTATTTGGGTTAAACGGGTCATGTAATCTATAATAATGCACAATCTAAATAATAAATGGAGTATGGGTTAGGTGGATTAGGTTCATGTACGTTTTGGGTAAAACATTTTGATCTGTAGGATAAGCATGTCAGTTTGTATCAAGAACATTTGGGTTGCAAATGAATGTGTAAGTGCTGGATGCATGGTCAGCGGTGCCAGCAAAAAATAATGTCTTTGTATATGGTGAATAGTTTCTCAGGGTTCTTTGGTATCTACTCCTTGAAGGTTCTTTAGTTCACTGTTTAGTTTGTGTGGAAATTTGATGTCCTCATCTTTATGATATTGAAAATATTTCTTTGCATGATATTAGCGTTTGGCAATATAATCTCAGCTAACCACATATTTTTGTGTATCCTGTTTAGCATTTTCTCTCTCTCTCTCTCTCTCTCTATATATATATATATATATATATATATATATATATATATTACTTTACCGAACTCATCATATTCTTTCTCTTTTTTTTCTTGGTGAAGTTTTTAAAAGGACCTTGATATTGTTTGTTGCAGAGAGTGCATATGCTAATATCCCTATGACGCCATATGAACTTCCAGATGGACAGTAAGTACATCTTTATGTCCTCTCGCTCGCTGTGTATTGTACAAACTCACAAATAAATAAATATTTGTATATATTATTATTATTATTATTATTATAGATCATCCAATTCCAACATTTTGTATGTACAATAAACTATACATTTTTTAATGTTTCGATTCTCAGTTTAATTTGTTGCCTTGCAGAATTATTGAAATTGGTGCAGATCGATTTAAGATTCCTGATATTCTGTTCAATCCATCATTAGTCCAGGTAATTATGACATGATCTAGTTAACTGATCATACTCATCAACTATCAATGTGCGATGTAATGGGAATGCTCCAAGGTTTGCCGTACTTACCTGTTAAGTTTAGCTAATGAATCAACTATCAATGTTCGATGTAATGGGAATGTGCTTAACTTGAACAATGTTCTAATTTTGGTGACAATTTTGGATAAATTCTAAATTAGAAAAGAAAAGTTCAGTTTCTTTGGATTTTTATGCCCTTAAATCCTCACCTGCATTCATGAATCTTTTCATTTAAGCCTTTATGTGGATGTGGTGGCAATCATTCATAGAAAATTTTCTATTTGATTTAGTTTTGATGTCATACTTAAGTATTAGTTTAATTTGATGTCCACCAGTCGGCGGTGGCCAACGGTGGTGGTCGATTGTCGCGGCCAGCGGTGGGTGGTGGCCGGCGGTTGGCGATGGTGGCTGGCAGTTGGTGGTTGTGGCTGTTAGTTGGCGATGGTAGCCGGCGATTGTGGTTGGCGGCGGTTAAACGAGCTTGCTTGTGGTATAAAGCGTTCTCGCTCAAAACTGAGCGAGTTTACTTTACCTCCAAAATGAACTACACTACATTTACTTTTACTTTACCAATTCCTTTTTCATCCAAAGTATTCCAACCACATACCAAATTTTCTAAAACATACCTTAAATCCTAAAGTATTCCAGCCAAACATACCCTAAACCTAATGCTTTTGAGTATGATTCACATCATACATTTGTAAGCCAGCAAGATTGTACACAGTTGTTCCTAGGACTTGTTGTGATACAGAACTTGGTTGATATTTCTTGTAAGGTGGCCAAACTCAACCAACCTTGGAGCATGCCAAATTTTTGTCAACAAAAAAATGAATCATAAAAAACTCTGTTGAATTTCTATTTATTGTTTTATTTATTGATTCTGTTCGAGAAATTTATCATTTGGTACCTCAGAAATGCAGTTTAATTCTATGGGTGATTTGTGTTTTAAACTAAACTTATAGAGGTGCTCTCTTTTATGACTACAATAGATTTGAATTGTAATATTTGAAATATGTTATTTGCATTACTTGAAATATGACATTCACGTTGGAAAGTGTACAATACTTGATTCGTTAGCTATACTTCACAGGTAAACAATTTGTCATTATATTTCTTTTCTGAATTGAAACAGACTATACCGGGAATGGAGAATTTCATAGATTCTTCTCCTGTTCGTGGCCTCCCACAAATGGTGAAGTTATTCTTGTATTGCTTGTAGCAAACACGTTTACTTGCTTAAGCTACAGTCAGGTCAATTTCTTCTACTTGTTTCAGGTTATTGAGAGCATCAATAAATGTGATGTGGACATTCGTAGAGAGTTATTTAGCAGCATTTTGGTAACTATAGTTTGCTTTATTTTTTTTGTTACTCACATTTCATTTAATTGCAGGCATTTAGGTATTAATCATATTTTACATGCTATTTAGCTTGCAATTTCTACTGCTGTATTTAACTTAGCCAAACCATGACTAGCATGATAGTGGTTCCTGCAGGAATCAGATTTTTGTAGATGTATTTAATAAGTATGGTGCCACATAGATGATAATTTTGTGCATACTTATATTCTTGTATGGTTGTAAATAACTTGAAATTGGCAACTTGTTACAGCATGATTTAATGCATACAATTTATAACACAAAGTATTGATCTCAAGATGACTTAAAAAAATTGACTAGATCAACCATAGATTGGGCATTTGCAAACAAATATTGATGCGATCAAACTCCATACAAATAATGGAGGTTCATATGGGTCGTATTTGACAAAATGAAGTTGAACCATCCTTACCGTAATGATTTCTTTTCACAAAGGTCTGTTGTATATAGTGAATAGCCTTAAGGAAATTGCCACTTGCTTTGGAGGGGTAAGGAGAACATTGAAAACCTCCTTTTTGACCAACAACCTGTCATTGGTGCTGTCACATTGCGACCATCAGCACTAGTGGTTGAGAGCTATCCGAGTAACCACTTTGGGTTGGTCACAAACAAGGAGCACATTTTTGACCTTGAAGCTGCTAGTATTCCCTCTTTTGACTGGAGTTCATTGTTGACTGAAAGAAAGAAATAAATTTTGAACAGATGCAAAGCAACGCACCTGGCTCCGAGCTGGCCCCACCTCATACGGACGAAGCAACTGTTTGTTCAAAATAACACAACCGCCATTACTTTCTTTTAAGAATGATAGGCAGGAGCGGTTGAGGGAAGCATTTAAACACTTCTCTCGCTCGTCTCTTGGTGCCACACGCAGATAGAGGAAGCTGAAAGCCCTAGCTTGCCACAACCTCCCGATTTCGATCCGATCTCGCGATTGGATCCTTCAACCCGACGAACCATCCCCGCCTCTCGTGCCACCTTGCCCTATTTGAATCAAACTGAGGCCGCCTCCACACACCCGAACCAACCCACCTCACGCACGACCTCACACGTGAACGACATCTTCGTATCGAGCCGCTCCTCGCGCGATCGACCCTGCTTCTTTCTTTGCTCGTCCTCTGGTCCTGCTAGCTCCTGTTTGCGTGAGCACATTCAAGCCTACTATCTTCAATCCCTCAAAGATTATGTTCAGGATCTCTCAAACACGAACTCCTCTATTCCAACTGAAATTGCTGTTGTGAAAAATTGCTCGTATATGCTATTTAGAGAAATAAAATATTTGCATGGCTTGTGACACCATTGATTAAAAGACAGTTTTCAACTGTCTATATTTGCCTTAATTTGCACATTAATATGTGTAATTGATGATTGTCAATGACAATGAAATGATTAAAATAACAATAATCAATGTAATTAAATAAATTTTATAGCAAGCAAGGTGTTTGCCAAAATGAAGACCTCAAGTCGTTGATTTTAAATCTGATCGATATGATTTTAAATTCAAGACTCTAAGCCATTGATCTGATCTAGCTAGGAGGAATTCAAATCCAAGAACTTGTGTCGTTGATTTTAAATCTGGTTGAGATGGTTTTAAAACTAAGACTTCGTGTCATCGGCCTTAGGTTCGGCCGAGAATAAATTATTGACAAGAGTCGTCTCGATTTCCCCTGGTGGGGAGGGGATGCCGAGAGGCTGCCGACCGACGTCCCAAAATTGCCTCAAAAAAGGGAAGGAGGGGAGAGAGGGGGGCGACGGCTAGGGTGAGTGGGGGAGTTGATTTAGGGAATTGTGAGGCTTGCCAAACATAAAATACTATTCAAGGAAAGAGGGATTATGGGAAATCTCTATTTAATTTAAATTGACATGATTAGGGTGGGGCTTTCCTTAGATAATTCATCTTATTTTAGGAAAGAAATTTCAAATTCAAATAAATTAAAATATGAATTTAAAACCTTTCTAATTTAAGAGGCATCGAATATGGAAAGGGTCATTTGAAATTTGGGAGGGGGGAACTTTCCTAAGGTACTTCATCTTATTTTAGGAAAGGAATTTCAAATTCAAATAAATTAAAATTTGAATTTAAAACCTTCTTAATTTAAGATGCGCAAAATATGGAAAGGATCAATTTCTTGATTTGAAATTTTTGGGGCAAGGGAAAGGGGGTGGTGGCCGACGGCTTTAGGGAGGGAAGGGGCCAGCGGCTAGGGTAGGGGAGGGCCGGAGGCTAGGGAAGAAAGCAAAGCAAATTTGAGGTGGAGATGAACCACGAGCCCATATGCTTCTTGCAGCTGATGGGTAGTGCTTTGTCCTTACCACGGGACTTCCGATTCCCCCAAGAGCTCACAACTCTCCAAGAAAACAAAGTGTAGAATTTTTCTTTTCATTATAATCATCATCCCCTCTAAAGAGGAGGAGAGGCCTATGAATAGCCAAAATACAATGATACGTTAATGACAAAAGTGCCCCCTGGGGTCACATAAGCCTACTTCCTCAAGTAAGGGTAAAAACGGAAAAGATACACAAATAAATCAAATACAAGTAAAAGCTAAAAAATAAGTGGTCAAATCATGGCCGTAGATCTTTGACCCCTTCTCTGATAAACTTTCCACAATCGGATGTCCTCATCACAAATATTTTTAACAAACTCTTTTTCGAAGTCGTAGCAGGGGTGGAAGTCTAATACCTTCAATGAGTTCATTAATCCCAACAAAAAATGTACAGGGTGAGTAGTTCAAAAGATTCGCCTTAGTGAAAAGAGAATTTTTTTAGCAAGATAACATGAGTTCAATTTGATGGTGCTATTAGACGAACAATAGTTCATGAGAAGATCTATGTTTATTTGATGAAAGCAAATCAGAGCCCACAATGGCGTAACAAAATGTGTGTTTGAAGTTGAGCAGTGATTCTTAACCTTCTAACCAATCCTTGGAAATGATACTGGTTGATTCCACGAGAATCGCTTCATTAGAAGAATCAGAATCAGGTTTTTTTGTCTTGCCAAAGTAATGACCTAAAATACTGTATAATTCAAGTACACGATTATGTTTTCCAAAGTGCCTGTTTTTTGGACCCTGTCTTTATATCCAACCAAACCACTTCTCCAAATAATGGTTGCTCTTGCATAATATTTTACTGCTACACCATTTCTGATACTAGTTTATTTATGAAGTGTGCTTTCCTTAGTGCCTGTAGTTTTCCAGTTAGAGAAGTAATGGTTTTATATATACTTTAAAAATTGGAAGTACGCTTCTTGATAAAACACGGCTTTTCTGCAACACCAAAATGCTCTAAAATTTGCAGGCTCTGGCTGTTTTTCTGTACTTCCTAACATGCTAGGGATGTAGTTATACTTCTGCGTTTGAATATTTCCTTGCATCTTTGTAGTTTATATTTGTAATATGTCATCTTTTGACAGCATCAGTAAAAAAAACTAGTTTTTCCTTTGTCTTTCTTCGCGTTGTCTTCTTGAAGACTAGTTTACCGTTGCACTTTGATAGGCTTGTATGTGGTTGTTTTTGATGTTCTGGTGATTGCCCTCCTTTTGCGACCAGCTTTCAGGTGGCACTGCATCAATGCAGCAACTAAAAGAGAGGCTTGAAAAGGATCTAATGGAGGTACTTTTTTTTTGCAGCTAAGATCTTAATTAGCTTGTCTTTTCTAAGCTAGCATTGAGTCTTTGGTCGTTTTTTTTTTTTTAAATGGCGGTTGTGAATCATAATGTCCATCCTTTGTTTCATATATACTTTATTTCATATACACTAAGTTCAAAATATTGGTTTCATGAGCTTATAACCTTGAGTTCATAATCATATAATGTGCACATTTTACATTTTTATGAACCTTATAGAAGGTTTAAATATCTTATTAGAATGTCTTTATTGTTAAGTGCTATTCATTATGATAAGAACTTTGTTTTTTTCCTATTATGTTATGGTTAATGGTAAATATCTTGCAGTTTTATTCAGTTTGGTTAAAAAGTTTTTTTTAAGCTTGTTATTAGCCCATGAGAGCCTTAAATTCACTGAATGTGACCATTTTTTTTCATTATCATTAATCTTATCCTAACTTTTGGAATTTGCTTTATAAAACAAAATTTTATTCATTCCTATGAGTGCCACTTCAGTTGTTAACTGTAATTACTGATACCTTCGCTTGCTCTTTTTTTTAATCTTTTCTATTTGTTTTATTATCCATCTTATTGATGTATTGCTACCATTCCTTTGTACATTCCCAAATCACCAAAATTTATTTTTCCGAATTTTATCTTTGCTACATGTTACTCGTATATCCCCACATTTATAATTGTTTCATAATCTGTCCTTAATTTTTCCTCACATCTGTATTATCATTATTAGTTATGCTACACTCTACTTGACGATTCAAAGATTTTTCTATTACCTGATCTATATAAAATTTGTTTGTCTATTTTTTGTTTTATAAAAGTTTATTTATGCCTTTTTCGTGCTTTGAAATTCCCTACCTATCTATCAAATGTTTGAGTGATTTTAGGTTTTTCTTAAGAAATCAGATTAAATATTAGATAAATTCCGTGAAATTTTATGTTCTAACAAAGACTTCATGGAATGGTTTGGTGTTTCATATAAGAACAAACTTTGATAATACCCTTCTTAATTATGAGAGATAATTGATTAGGAAAGTTAGTTTATAGGCTCGTCGACCTTTGTTTTAGTAGCAATAGTTTGAATTAGAGAGGAAATTTATCGTTATTGGCGCATAACATATGGAGTGAGAAATTTTTACCAACTCTATCAACATCTTATGATTTTGTTATCCTGAGTTGTAATGGACCTTGATCTCTATAGTTAATCTAAGTAATTGTCCTAACACGACTAAAGGATCATTATTAGCTACCAGGAGTTGCGTTCTTTAATGAGATCTCGTAGACTTGGTGGGAAAGCTTGCTTAAATGGCCAATTTTATACGAACATTGGTTAATAGAGGGCTTATTGCTGTAACAAGTGCACTTCATGACTCACAATTGATAGATTTAGCTGTTGGGGAAGGGCAATGCGTTATAATGGAACCATCACAATCAAAGTAACAACTAGATCAGGGATACATGCCATCTCATTGCTGGCATGATACTTTATAATTTGATTATGAGGATACATTTGATATGATATTAGATCTTTGTAAGCCTCAATAAAATTTAAACTTTTTATCGTAAGCGAAATAATACAGAGGATGTATGGCCATGATGTATCGATATGGGCTTAGGGACATATGTGATATGACATGGTCACGATATAAATCTATTGTTGAAAATATATGACACATACATGCATTTGACACATCATAATATTATATATTACACACTACGATCAAATATATAGTAAATACATAAATTAAATAATAGGAAATAAATTCAAATAATAATAAATTTATTTAAATTTCCCATATTAAAAAAAATTATGATTTATTAAATATTTTAAATTCAATTAAAGAAGATATTATTGAAGATATTTATTATATTATATTATAGATTGTTAGTTTGAGGTTGAAAATTTGATTAGCTTGTGAAAAAAATTGTTATAAAAATTTGGCAAATCAAAGAAAATTAGTGCTATCTAACTATTAAGTTATTTAAGTAACATATTGAAAAAAAAAGTGAGAAGAGACGCTTAATTAAGTTTTTTTTTAATATACTTTTAAGATCAAAATTTATTATTTATGACAAGTCTGCTGAACAGACGTGTCTACAAATTTTTTTAATCCTTTTAATTGGGCACAGACATGCGTGTAACACGTATTGAGAAAGTACATATGTTCGACATGACACACTTTATTATGCCAAATTGTCATTTCATCATGGATTGATGGATAGTTGCTCTAAGAACCTTTTTTAAAAATATTTTTAAAAGAGATGCATGTAGATGGAGTAACCTCATGGACCGGCTACACCACTTGTAGAGCTTGCTACAACATTCTTTGGTTTGACTACATCCTTGGAGGGCCAGCTACAAATTTTATTTGCTTACAAACTAATAGTAATTTTGCTGGGATAATTGAAATTAAAGGGTGCGTTGTGATCTCAAGGCTCTCAAAATCCTAATTCAGCCGAATTGGGACTCATTTGAGTAAACAAAATCAAATTGGAGTTTAGTAATGTCAAATTAAGGCCACCAATTGGTTCAAGCTTAAAGTAAGGGGAGACCTTAATGCATGCTAAATGTGTCTAAATATGTAGTTTAGGCGTGATTTTCATCAAACAAGCAAGTTGGCTAAAAATGGAGTTTATTTGAAGTTTAGAGCCATACTAATGGGCTTTTGGCCACCATTCAAGGATGTTTTTCTATGTCAATATTAACTACATAATCAAGCCGTGCAAGGATGCTTTGGCCACATGAACGTGAAGAGAGAAAATGTTCAAAAGAATAAATACATATGCAAAATTTGAATTCCACAAATTCGTCAACCTTTACCTTTCTCTTTCTCTCTCTGTCTATCTCCCTTAGTTGCCCAAACACAAAGAGGGAATAACTTCAATGAATATTATTGTATGTATTTTTAAATAAACGTCATAATAATTAGATAAGAACTTGTTTTCTCAAATAGCTTATCTAGATAAGATTTTTAGGATCTTTTTGTTTATTAATGCTATCTTTTAAATTTTTGTGTAATTTCCTATGTCACAATGCAATTGTATTGTGTATTGAGTTAATTCTGGACCAATAATTTTCCTCTTTTCTCAAGCATTTATTGCAATAACTCCTCCATTTCTTCTTAAAATTTGCTTTTTATGCTATCTTCTAATAAACTTGAGGAGCATAAATAGTAATCACATTTACAATTTCCTATCATTATTAATTTAATTAAAATCATGTTAGGGCTTACAATATTCATCTTAACAACTTAATCTTTTAATTTTATATCCATTATGATTTCTATCCCATTTATATTATTAATAATTTAAACATGTAACTTTTATCAATGTTCTTGGATTTTCTTTCTACTTTAGTAACCTTAGCACCCTAAATAAAAATAAAGATTTTTGTTTTTATCGACGTATTCGTAAAATCGAAGTTAAAGAGGCTTTAAAGAAAATGAAGTGTGGAAAAGTTGTTGGATGTATAGAGAGAATAAGGATGATCTACATATGATTTTTATTGATTTAAATAAAGCATATTATAAAGTTCCAATTGAAGTGCTATGGAGAGTTCTATATAAGAAAGGGGTTAATAATGCTTATATTCAAGTCATTAAGGATATGTATGTAGGAGCTGTTACTTGTGTTCAAACACAAGGTGGTTTGACAAAGTATTTTCCTATTTCAGTTGGATTACATCAAGGATTAGCCTTAAGCCCATATCTTTTTGCATTAGTCATGGATGTTCGCACTAGACATTTGCAAGAGGTTGTACCCTGGTGTATGCTTTTTGCTGATGATATTGTTCTTGTTAATAAGACTAGAGAGGGAGTTGAAGGTAAACTTGAATTATGGAGGTCGACCTTAGAGTCTAAAGACTTTCGCTTGATTAGATCTAAAACTAAATATATGGAGTGTAATTTTAGAAAGAATAGATCTAGTGGGTGGATTGTGACTTTGGGCGATCAAGTCATTAATAAGAGCACACATTTTATATATCTTGGGTCTATTGTTCAGAGTGATGGTGAAATAGATGGGGATATTATTAGTGGAATTCAAGTTGGATGGTTGAAGAGGAGGAATGCATCAGGCTTATTATGTGATAGATTAGTCCCTCTCAAACTTAAGAAAAAATTCCATAAGATGGTAGTGAGACCTGCAATGCTTTATGGTGCAAAATGTTGGTCATTAAAGAGAAGCATAATATTAAGTGTTGCAGAGATGAGGATGCTCAGGTGAATGAGTGACTTTTCTCTTAAAGACACGATACGAAATGAGCATATACATGAAAAGGTTGGAGTAGCTCCAATGGAAGATAAGATTAGAGAGAGTCGTCTTAGATGGTTTGGTGACATAAAACGGTGGCCTTCGAATGACCCGGTTAGGAAAGTAAATGTATTAGATTTGACTTATATTTAAGAAAGGTAGAGGTAAACCTAAAAAGACTTGGTTATAAAATATTAGAAATGACATTTTTATTAGATTTATATGAGAATTTGGCCCTTAACAGGTCATAATGAAAAAAAAAAAGATTCGTGTAGCTGACCCCACATAGTTAGATTAAGGCTTGTTGTTGTTGTATGCAATGTTTACTATTCTTCTCATTATTATGCCCACCAATTCTTCATATTTATATTCGTCATATTCTTTGTTCTAGGTTTTAAACTTGGTCCATCATTTCTTAAAGTTCACCATAATTGGATTAATTTATGGCACACTACTTGCAAGTGATGTCTCGATCAATCTTTTATTAATTTTCACCACAATCATGTTAAGTTGTACTGCATGACTGACGGGTGACATCCCAAATTAAATTGTAACTCATAATTTTTAGGGAAATTTTATAAAATTCAAATAGGTACTTATTTAATAAAATTTGGCATAAATTTAACAAATGGTTTTCAACGTACTAATAACTTTTCTCATTTGAGCCTAGGATCAACAATGATGTTAACCATCCATATTTTCCTGCATCAAGTTTGGTTAAGCCTTGATTGTTTAATAATTTTTTGCCTTTCAAGTTTTTCCATACTTTCATTATGTTAATTGTTTATATTGTCTGCTTTTTTGATGTTGAAGATTTACTTCTATAACTGTTCATTTATTTCATGTGGTAGAACTTTCTCGTTGGGGCTATTTGGTTGGATTACTTTAGGGTGTAAAGTATTTCAAATATAGTAGTTTTACAAAATTTGGTGTTTGGTTGGATTACAAAATGATGCAAAGTAAAGCATAGTAAATGTAATGTAAAGTGAAGTAGTTCATCTTGAGTGTAAACCAAACTCCTCCGATTTTGAGTTAAAACTGTTTACACCATAAGCTTATTTGATTGCCACTCGTCGTCAGCCACCGCCAAGATCCACCCTACGTCTACCGACGTTGCTAGCTGCCCACTATTGCTGCCTCCTACCACTACCTTTGCCGGCCACCACCGCCGCTGCCACCGCCATCGCCGCAAGCCGCCACCTGCCATCTCCATTTATGGCTTTACTCTACATTCATTTCTTCTAAAAAAAAAAAAACATTCACTTGCATTTACATACATCCATCCAAATAACTCCAATGTATTTCCTTTCCACTGCATCTCCTTTCCACTGCATTTAAAATAATATGAGTATTGTATAAATATGTTGATTTGGTAGGCTCACTTTATCAGTCTCATTTTTTAAAATATGTTTTCACTATTTTAAGATTATATATAACTGTGAAATCAAGTAAAATTTTCCCATAACATTTTTATTGCATCTTACATACGATGATTCTTCTCATTGCTCATCCTTACTAGATTCTCTCTCTAATTTATGTCACCAATAAAAGTTACTTCTTCTTTTCTCAGGTACACGTTATAACAAGTAAAACTATAGCTTCCCAACATTATTTTAAAGCTAATTTTAAATTTAATTTGGAGAGCAAGAGAACTAACTTTTTATAATGTCGTGATTAAAAATTGACTTAACAACAATCAATCTATTACTAATCCTATTATTCTTAACAATTTTATGCTTATCTTTGCATTTAATATTGTACCAACTACTCTCTTATTCTTCACTTTCCCAAAATAAAATACTCATGAGCTTTCTCAATGTCTTTTCAGTTCTTCTCCTTTTCATTTACTTTCCTGCAATTATGTGATGTTTATTTTTTAGTCATTGTGTCTACTTAATCTTAAATTTCACAAATTTATACAAAAACATCCAATCTTAATTTTATATCTGCTCAACCACTTAATGCTCTAATCTTCCTATTCAAAGTCCTTTATTTTTATTAGTAACGGACTGTCAATCCTGGCATATTTTCACCAATATTAGGTTAGTTTGTGATGCTTGGATTTGTATGTGATATCAAGCAAATTTATGCCCAATTCTGACTGCAATTGGGATATGTAGTCGTCTTGTTACTTCCAGAGATATCTTTGGAAATCCTTTTCTGTCTCATTACAATCGGGTAAGAGGGAATAGGGGTGTCAATATTTGACACGACCTAAAAATCCGACACGAACACACCCCAAAAATTTTGGGTTAGGGTCAACCTGGATCTGAAATGGGTCGGGTTCGGGTTTAACAAATCGATCTGTTTCAAAAACCGGGTCGGGTTCGGATTGACTCAAAAACCCAAAATTGACCCATTTTTACCCGAAAACCCGTTTTGATCCGTAATCTGAGATTGACCCGTTTTTTACCCGAAAATGGAAGATTGACCCATTTTGACCCGAAAAATAGCTATTTTTTGGTTGACCCCGGGTCATTCGGGTCGGGTAGGGTTGACCTGGACCCGAAGTTGGTCTGGTTTGGGTCTGAAAAATCGACCCGTTTCCAAAAATGGGTTAGGTTTCAGTTGACCCGAATAGTGCCGGGTCAGTTCCGGGTTCCACCCGTGACCTGAAATTGACACCCCTAAGAGGAAATGCCCTGGGACGGTAAAATTCAAAGTTGAAGTCATTTTTTTATTTTTGGGATTAACTTTTCAACTTTTTACATTTGGGAATGGGATCTGTGATGGCGACTTTACTAAATGTGACCATCAAAATCTTATGCTTCCCTATCACAATATTTTTTTTAGTGAAATAATCCGATTGGTAAAATTATAATTATTTGGCTTGGCAGGAGAGTCCGCAAGCGGCAAGGGTAAAGGTATTAGCAAGCGGAAATGCAACAGAGAGACGATTCAGGTGTGCTTTTCTTTCTATGTTATATAATTTTTTTTTGGTTTAAATCTTAAGTTTTGTTTAATATTTGAAATATTACTGAATAGCTAACTTTTATTTATTTCAAAAAAAAATATTTTTTTTCTTTGGAGTGATTAATTTTGTCGAAAGTTATTGAAGCTGTACTAGCACTTGCTGATGCTCATTTCCTTGCTTTACTTCATATTTTAATTTCATGTTAGCCCTTTCATTTTCAGATATTTTTTTAATATAATGGAGTATTGATGCACTTCCTAAATAAATCTACACAAAAAAAACTGTAGAAACTAGGGAGGAAGACCTTGTTGAGAGATCTTGAGAGGGAGAGAGGAGGAGGGAGAGGGGAGAAGAGCCGTGAGCCAACAAATGCAAAATTCCTTTATTCCTTGGCTACTTTCCTAATACAAGCTAAAGCCTATTAATAGGCACAAAAGCAACACCTACAGCTATACAAATAGCTACACAAAAGCAAACCTAAATCTAGGACTAATACCTAACAAAAACATTTAAAAAATTTTCATAGTTTTATTTGGAGATATTTTTTATAGGTCAAGTATTATTATAGCATGAGTGTTTGTATATATTTTTTTGGGAATTATAACGTATAGAATTGTTCTCTTGAAATTTATAATTTGAAAATTTACATGTAATTTGGATTTTAACTTATATTTAAGCTTCGTTTGGGACAGCTTTTTAAAGCAACTTTTTAGTATAAAAATTTTTTGAATTAAAAAATGTTATGCTAAAAAGTTGTTTTAGTAAACCTTAAGAAATGTGTTCAAAACTAGAGAGATTATTACGTGCGGAGTCCGGACACGTACGGAGGCCAATCTGGATACGTCATGTCACCCAATGCAGTAAAAATTCATCAAATTACAGCATCGAAGTGTTTAGGGGTCCTTTTTCCACTTTTTTTTTTTTACTTTTATTCAACTGACTGTCTGTTTTGTTTCTCTACAGCGTATGGATAGGAGGGAGTATTCTAGCTTCCCTCGGATCATTTCAGCAGATGTGGTTCTCCAAAGGAGAGTGAGTTCTTTCTCTTTTACTTATTTAATAGTTATTTTTAGTTTTCCTTCCTTTTTCATGGGTGCTAAATGTAACAGTATGTCTAATGAAGACATTATGCTCTTGACCTGATTCTTATATCAGTTGATCTAAAATTTGTGTGTGTAATTTGAGTCAGATCTTCATGTCAGATTGTTAGATCGGCCCCTCATGGACCGGTCCAGCTGGCCCCTTGCCAAGGGCCGGTCCAGGTTTATAAGAGGTGGACCTCGGACCCCCTTGAAGCTGCCCGCCCAAGCATGGGTGGGCCCCATTCAGGATTTCAAATAGAATCGGAGGGGGCGGCTAGGGCTAGGGCTAAGGGAGTAATTTTGCCTAGGAGGATTATTTGCATCCTTTAAGTAGGAACAGAGATTAGGGTTAGGGCTACGCATGATTAGTTCTTGGTGTCTTGGGCCCTAGTTTCGTTTCGTCTAGGGATTGGAAGAGATCGATACTCCTCTTGAATTGAGGATCAATTGTATCTTGCTTTTCATCTTCCGTTAGTTTGATTCTTGCAATAAAACTACTGTTTTCTCTCTGGCTTTCCATCAAATTTATCGACTTTTCTCACTGTTTCGTCAATATTATTAGGGTTTACTCGAGATCTTCAAGCATTTCCTAACACAGATCCAATATGACTCCTAATCTCTTACATGCACTAACAGGTATGAAGAACATGGAGCATCATACATCCAGAGGAAATGCCCCTAACTCTAATGATTCTATGCCAAAACGGAAATTGATTCACATTGTCAGAATTCTGCCAGTCTTAAGCATGTTAAGGATGGGCGGGATTTTAGTTCAGTTTATATAGAGCGCCATCCCTTCTTGGCAAAAAACATGTAGTTAGCCATTAGGAAGCTACCTTTTGTTTATTGGTGGCAAATAGATATTCTTCACAGAGGTGAGTTAAATTTATTTGGTCAATTATATTAAATTCTATATCAATATCAAATATAATATTTTTAAACTTTTTTTTTTTGGACTTGTTATATAAAAAGATAAATTATATAATAAAAAAGCTTTATTCATAATTTTTTTCTTCGAGTCTTCATATTTTGTTGTTATATTAATATTTTACTTTGAATTGAAAATTGCGATCATGCTCTCAACAATGTACAAAATTTTAATTTATTAAATACTCTTCTCTAAAATTTCTATCTGAAAAGATTTGAGATTTCATAAATGTAATACTTTTGTTGGAGAATATTTATTCAAATTAGACAAGTAATTCATAGAAAAAAAAAAAAATTTCCTCAAGGTTATAAAAATAAACACAAATTATATGAAAAAATTTCATTTAAACTCTCGAAACTATTTAAAATAAAACAAAATTTTACTAATTTTGAAGAACAGAGCATTTATGGTTTAGAGCATTTAAGGCTCAAATTCATGAGCTTATTCATTAACTAGCTCATAAATTGAGCATAAATAGAGCTTATCAAACCACAAGTTCAACTCATATCATAGATGCTTAGCTTATTAGCTTGGTTGGTGAGTGTGTTAGGTTGGGAGCCTCCATCTCGTGTTCGATTCCTTTGAGCAGCAGCTATCCTTTTGCGGGTACAATGACGTGGGTGGCCTGGGGATTATGGACCACCAAACACGCTCAACGATGCAGGCGTGACAGTGGATGGTTTCTCATCACAAAAAAAAAAACCACAAGTTCAAGCTCGCTTTGTATCAAACAAAATAGAGTGCTCCATCAGATCGACAACAACAAATTTCATACCAAAAAGCTGACAATATTTGTTGCAGGAGGCGACGGATCAAACGGAAATGCTCTGCTTTTATTGCAGATAGAGGCTTATAATATGCCACTACTTCTGCAACAACCAAAACACCAAAAATAGCTAATTATGCTTATAAACAACAAATAAATCACTTGATTTGATAAGAGATTTTGTGGTGGCTGCATCAGTTTTTGTTGAAAAACAAGTAATTAGTTCTAGCAACAAAATTAAACAAACTCGATCGGCATTTGAGTTTCTTAAATATCCCATTTTTCCTTCCCACCTATTTCTACCAACCTAAGCACAGAAATGGAAGAAGCCAAAGCTCTCTTCTTCTTCTTCTTTTTCTTCATCGTCGCCGCATCTTCTCTTCCGGCGAACTTCGCCGGCAACGGCAGCGACGCAAGCGACGCGTTAGCCAAAGATGCCGATTTTATAGACGAGCTTCCAAACCAGCCTGAAAGCATAGATTTTCGTCAGTATTCGGGCTATCTTCTCGCCGAACCAGTCAGCAATCGACGCTTCTTCTACTATTTTGTTGAAGCTGAAGATATTCGACCGTTATCCAAGCCCCTCATAATCTACATTGGCGCCCCATGTAACATCAGCCTTATTTTCTTTTTCTTTTTTTTTTAATTCTAATAATTCATTTAATTTTTTTTTCTAATGAATTTTTAAGCTTTTGAGACATATTTAGTATGAGATATATGCGTATACTAAATTTAAAAAAAAAATATACATAATATTTAAATTTCTTCTTAACCCGATCAGATGGAATAATATTATCTTAAACAAGTTTTATAGGAATATTCAGATTCTATTTTCTTACTTTTAAATAAAAATAATAAATTAATTGATATTTAAAAATAATAATGATCAAATAATATAATATATATGTTCTTTTTAAATTTTTTTTTCTAATTATACTCATTATATTTAATTAATTTTTGATTAAGGCTTCATTTGAGATGACTTTTTTATTGCTTCTTAAAACATAATTTTAGTACAAAAAAATTAATTTTTATAATAAAACTCTGTTTTAAAAAGCAGAAAAAAGCAATTTGCGTTTGGAACAGCTTTTTTATTGCTTCTTAAAACAACTTTTTAGTTCAATAATTAAAATTTTTGTATCAGAAAAATTGATCAAATAATTTAATATATATGTTCTTTTTAAAATTGTTTTTCTAATTATACTCATTATATTTAATTAATTTTTGATTAAGACTTCATTTGAGATGATTTTTTTATTGCTTCTTAAAACATAATCTTTGTAAAAAATTTTAATATTTGTAAAAAACTCCATTTTAAGAATTATAAGATCAGAAAAAAAGCCGTTTTAGTTTGAAACGGTTTTTTTATTACTTCTTAAAATAACTTTCTAGTTCAATAATTAAAATTTTTATATTAGAGATCTATTTTAAGAATCAGTAAAATAACAATCCCAAACGAAACCTAAGCTCCTTGTAAAATTTTGCCATGGTAAAATTATTTATCTTGTTCTTTCTTCTCCATGGTTTACTGCAGCTGTTAACGATCTGGCCTCGGCCTTGCTATCGTGCTTCCAGCAAGTAGGGCCATACACTGTTGGCGATGACGGCCAGACTCTGATCCCCAACCCATTTTCATGGAATAAATGTGAGTAATACAAAAAATACTCATATTAATCTTCTGCACTGTTTCTGTTCCTCATACTTCTTCTTCTTCTTGTTGCTGCGACAGTTGCCAATATTCTCTTCATTGAGGGACCAGTAGGGGTTGGGTTCTCGCTCTCCGACAATGATCAGGACATATATGAAACCCAGGAGTTCTGGATCATCGCCGATATGTACCATTTCATTGTGCGGTGGATGAAGAGGTTTCCCGAGCACAAGAACAACGATGTCTACATCGCCGGCCAGTCATACATCGGCGCGCTCGGCCCCGGCCTCGCCACCTACATCCTCTACATGAACACCAGACCCGACAGCACGCCCATTAGCATCAGAGGCATTCTAGTAATTCTAATCTCATAAAACCTAGCTAGCTCACCACATTGTAATTCCATTTCGATTATTATTGTCTTAAACGATTAAAATTGGCAGATGGGAAACCCTAAAATGGATTCGGACTTGGAGTTCATAACGAGATTTGAGGCCAAGTTCAGGATGAACATAATATCGGAGGAAATACTTAGGGATCATAGAAAGCTTTGCCATGTAAAAAATACCGAAGATGTCTTGATTTGCTGGAAACCTATTGGAGAATATCAAAGGCTTGCCTTGGCTCTCGACGGCTACAATGTCTACTCCAAATTCTGCCCTAATATTGACATAAAGTCTGTTGGATTGGATAATTTCAAGGTCCTCTTTCTTCTACCCTAAACCCTAATTTACAATTTGATCTGTCTTTATTGAAATCTCCTTAGGGCATCTCCAACCGAACGGCAAACACTTGTTTGCCGTTCTTGCTTTGCTCCAACCGATCTCCATTTTTGACGCCATTTCATCGCAGATGAACAGTGCGACGCCAATATTGGCGTCGCACTGTTCATCCGCGGCATTTTTTTCTCTCTACCGAACAGCTTGGGAAGAAAGGCGCGAACGAAAACGACCATTTTAGCGGCAAAATGGCGTTGGATTGGAGATGAAATACGGCATTTTTTGATTTCCCTGCATTTTGGAGTGAAAAATGACATTTTCGGTTGGAGATGCCCTTAGAAAAATATTTTTGTTAAGGTGTTTGTATAACGTGCATGATAAATGAAAGTGCGTTCTTGAAAGCAGGAAAAAGTGTACGACTGCAATGAACAGTGTGTGGCTGGCTATCTCAATATTCCTTTCGTTCAGCTGATGATGCACGTTCAAAGCACACCTTGGGGTCCTCCCATGTGGCAGCCCTATGACAGGTCTCTCTCTCTCTCTTGATCAAGTCGAGTCGAGTTTAGGCTTTATCAAGTTCGGCTCGTGAGTTGGAAAGCGAGCTTGACTTCGAGCTCGAGTCAGCTCATGATCCGCTCGCGAGACATGGGCAGGATTTTTAAAACTTAGGTTGGATTTTTAAAACTTAAGTGAGATTTATAAAACTTATGTGAGATTTAAAAAAAAGTTGCAATGTTTAACATTTAAATAAAATTTAGGTGATTCTTATTAATTTTTAAAATATTTAAAGTTACTAATAATTATTCGAGCCAGCTCAAACTTGAACTTGAGCTCGACTCATGAGATCGTTAAGCTCGGCTCGTGAGCCCATAAACGTGTCGAGCTCGAATCGGCTCTCGCTCACTCCCTATATTTTATTTGGAAATGTTTAATAGTTTAATTTTGTTTTTATTCGGGATAATTTTTTTATTCATTTATAAAGCTGTTGTAGATAAAATAGCTTTTTAAAATTGTTAGTACAAAGTAATTTTTTAGTACAAAAACTTTTTGAAAGCAAGAACAAAATAACTGTCAATAAAAATTATAATTGCGATTTAAAAAGTAAAACAATTAAAAAAAGTAAAATTAATTCTATATTATCACAAAATTAAGATATCATAATTTTTTTATCAATTAACTAATTCATTTATTTTGGCAGTAATACAAGAGTATTAACAAATATTTCTTCTTCAACACCCTATATAAAGGCAGCAATGGCCAAAGGAGTTCGAGTTCTAATTTACAGGTTTGTCAGCATACCCTCTTTTAATTTGCATAAATAATTCATATAATTTTTCTTAAGAAATAGCAAAATATGATCAATAATAACATTTCCTCTAATCATAATACTATAGTTAAATTTCCAATTTCCGGCGGTTTGTGTAGATTTTACGGCAGTTTAAAAAATTTCCTGCGGTTTACTAGCGGTTAAAAAACTGCTAGAATAAACCACATAGGAAATGAAATTGGCGGCCTGCCTTTTCTGGCGGTTATATGTTCCGGCAGTTTTTCGATGGCTAAAATGGCCGGAAATTACTAAATCCAAAATCATGGGTAAATCCTTAGTAATTTCTTGTAGTGTAAATTTCTAATTAAAACTTTCAATTGAATGAACAATTTTTGCTTACAAATATTAAACAAAGCATCTCTCTATATAAATACTTATAAATTTGATATTATTTCTTGCAGTGGAGTTCAAGATGATGAAAATGTTATTCCCAATATGATTGCCATCAAGAGCATGAATTTGACCATCTCATCAGAGTGGAGGCCATGGTTTGATAACAAAGTTGAGGTTGGTGCATTTTTTTGCATAAATCTTCAATAATCTGTCTATTTAGAATTAGAATATCTTTAGATAACATTTTTAGCATTTATCTTTATATTATGATATAAGATGTATGAAGATTAAGATTTGATTTGGTTTGTAGGTCGCTGGATTCGTCGAATCATATGTTGGGGGACTGACATATGCAACGGTTCGTGCCGCTGGAATGAAGGTCATGATTGACCAGCCTGAGAGGGGCTTCATCTTGGCCAAGTCCTTCATTACAAATAGTAGCCTTCCTTTCACCAAATTTGTGTGATTTAATAAATTTTATGATGAGCTTATATGAATGAATGAGGTTATGATTTCATAGGATTCATTTAATTGGTTTTCATCTATAAATGCTACATTGATGTATGTGATGAGAGTAGATATATATGAGGGTGAAATTATTCATAGGCATGCAATTAATGGAGATTAAATCTTTATTTATTTATTTATTGATTTTTATTTATGAAGATCTAATTTGTAATATATGACTTCAATTTGAAATTAGAATTTAAAATATTTCTTTATTAAACTAGCCGCGTAGACTCCTTACAAAATACTCATATTCAACTAGTGTAATTATTTAAAAGGAAATAATTAAAAAAATTATAATTTAATTTTTTTTTTGAAATAATGAAAAATTTAAACAAACCTAAATGCATCAAAGTTTCACTATATACCTAATCTTAGAACTAGCACATATATACTTTCATGATCATATAATCATTTTTTCAAAAGCTTTTAGATACTGTACAAAATTTTTATTCTTAGAGGCTCAGTTGCATTTCACTTCACCTCAACTTTTATTTGCAGAATCTATGCAAATATTTAGAATTAACTATTTCTTAAGTTTAAATCATTAAAATACTAACAAATAAAAAACAATGATTATAATTCACATGCACCAATGCCTGCTTATAACTCCTTTTTCACTTATGTTGATTTTTTTTTTTAATTTGATGAAGTTTTTTTTTTAATAGTTATTAGAATGACTCATTGTCATATAAATGTTGGAACATGTACCTAATATTTATAGCAGGAATTTATTACTACATATATCATAATTATTAAAAATAATTTTATTCATTGTATTTGTCTATATTACCCCCTTTTATTGCCTATATATATATGCTGATTTATATCAACACATCAAGGTAAATGGCATAAATAATGAGGAAGGGAGGGCAATAATTTGGATATGACTATTGCAGTATAGCTAAGGAGGCTAAGCTCCTCTTGCATGCAAGATTTCTACATGCAAGTATATGTATATATTTATAATAGATCATAAAAGGATAAAGTTTTTTAATAATCAGAGAAATTCAATGAGTGTAAGATCACATAACTATGATACCGTTAAGTCAACGATGCAGCTACCGATTCCAAAATTTATCTTTCTCCACAAAAAATACAAAGTTTTTACATCATTAATATCTTGAAGGCCACAATATTCTTCCTCCAGTACACAAAAAAAAGTACAAATATAGATTCTCCAACACATTAAGCATCACTGTCACATTATTCCTCTAATAGAATATGATTAATCATCTTAAGAAATCAAAACTAAGTCGACATATTCACAGAATGTAATAAAACAGTGCCGCGACAAATCGGACAGTTACCATGCATGTTGAGCCACATGTCAATACAAGTTGCATGAAATAAGTGTTGGCACGATGATAATCGCCTGACCTCCTCAACTTCATCGAATGGTGATAGGCAAATTACACACTCTGGTGCAGCTTCCTCCTCCTCCCCCTCAACCCCTGCTTCCTTGTGATATTTGAATTTTGGATTCCTACGCTGCATTTCCAAGTCATTATGCTTGTGATTTAGCAACCGACGCATTGAGAGGAACTGGCGTTGAAACCAAATGCAACAACCCATTGCGATAGAGCTGATGATGAGGAGTACAATGAATATAAGTGTGAAGCCGAAGAGAATGTAGTAGTAGTTGAGTTTGTCGTTGGATGGAGGAGAGGAAGATGATGTCATTGGATGATTTAGAAAGTGTTGACACTTGCTAACTTCTTCACACTGCAGTGGACTTTGGTAAGTTGAAATTTGATCATAAGAAGCTTTATAATGTACATGAAATTGATTTTATGAGTATATACATTAATAATTATACCCATGATGATAAATTTCTTTAATTTTAAACTTCATAGTATGAAGGATGAAAATTAAAAACATAAGATTAGCACTTATCGCTAAACAAAAATGAGTTAGCTTTGTGTTTTATTATTTCTAAAAATTAGTTAACACATAAAAAATTATTCATACAGTAATACCATTTCATGTGTAGATTAATCATCATCCCAAGCTTGCAACCAAATTTATCCGCTGGTAGCATCTAAGAAGGTATGGGATATGATTCTTGAAGAACAATAGAATGGGAAAATGGAAAATTCATCACCAAAAATAAGAAGCAAAAGAAACACAAATGAGTTGGGTTCTCAAACCTTTTTTTGGCGAGCTCACGCGAGGGTTCTAACAAGAGAGGGCGAACTTGCGGCGACGACGGCAGGCCGGCGGCGAGCTCATGTGAAGTTGGACTCTCACGCGAGAGAGAGGACTGTGGCACGTGGCTGCTGAGAGCAATGCGGACGAGAACAGAGAGAAAGACAGAAAGTAAAGAATGAAGAACAGATTGCATTCGATTGCCTAGCTATTATAGGAGTTATATAGACAACGTAAGAACTAGTGGCCAATACAATGGCAACAGGTGTACAAGGGGATAACAGTAACAGGCTCCCTCAAAATGTTGCATCGGAAGAGGTGACCAGTTTTTTCTTTCCTTTCTGTCTTCAAGCTAGTGGCCAACACAATGGCTGTCGCTCTCCGGCCACCTGCCTAGGCCATCGCTCTCCCACCGGTGAAAGCAATGGCGGCGGAAGTCTTCCCTAACGAAAAAGTCATTTTCAAAAGAGGTTCAATCGATATTAAATTGAATGATATCAAAAGCATCTCTATCTATAAGTACTTATAATTAATTTTGATATTATTTCATGCAGTGGAGTGCAAGATGATGAAAATGTTATCCCAAATATGATTGTCATCAAGAGCATGAATTTGACCATCTCATCAGAGTGGAGGCCATGGTTTGATAACAAAGTTGAGGTTGGTGCATTTTTTTTGCATGAATCTT